AGCTGCTGGGATTACAGGTGTGCATCACCACGCCCAGCTCTCCTTCATTTCTAAAGATTAATTTTACAAGATCAAAATTGCAGGTAGCTTTTTCACCCTCACTGATTTAAATATTTCATCCCACTTTTCATTTCTGAGAAGAAAACTGTTATTATTATGTTTGATTTTCTATAGGTAAGGTGTCTCCTTGCTCTGGATTCTTTCAAGATTTATTCCTTGTCTTTAATTTTCTAAAGTTTGAATAAGATAGACCTAGCTTTAGTTTTTTTTTTTTTTTTTTGGGGGGGGTGTGCATTATTGTTCTCTTTGTTTCCTGAGTCTGTTTGATTCCTGAGGAAATTCTCAGTCATTTTTGCTCTAAAAATTGTTCTTTCTTTCTTCTCCTTCTGGTATTCCCATCATGCATACACTACACCCTTCTCAGTTGTGTCACAGTTCTTGTTGACCCTGTTACTTTTTCAGCCTTTTTCCCTTCTTGCTTTTTAGGTGTGGAAGTTTCTTTTGTCATATTCTCAAGCTTAGACTTTCTTTATCCACAACTAATCAGCCCACTAAAAACTCATTTCTGTTGTGTTTTCGTCTCTCGTGTTTCTTTCTTGATTCCTTCTTGAAGCTTTTATTGGTCCATTTATCTTATTTCTCTGTTCTTGCATGTTGTATACTTTTTCTATTTAAAAATTTTTAAAATAAATGATCTGATAATTCCAACATTCCTGCCATATCTGACTCTGAATTTGGTGCTTGTTGAGTCTCTATGCTTTTGCCTGTTAGTTTGCCTTATGACTTTTGTTCAAAGGTGTGCATGACATACTGGGTAGAAGGAAATTGAGGAAGTAGGTCTTTAGTAACAGAGCAGTAAGGTGTGGGGGAACATAGTGATTTATAGCCCTATGAGGAGACCTCAGTCTATGGTGAACCTGTGCCCTTGAACTGTGAACTTCATCAGGGTCTCTTAGATTTTTTTTTATTCCTCATATGGGATAGGGTGGATGGAGGGTTTGGGATTTATGTTTCTTTTCCCCACTGGAAGTTTGATCTGGCTGGAGCTGGGTATTCCCCTGTTCCCCAGGTAGATTAGGCTTTTGTAAGATCTCAGCAGGTCAGCTCTAGTAAAGTCATTTCTCCAAAGGCAGTCCTTGTTATGATGAACAGAATGCTCTGCTGTACTTTCCTGCCAGATCTAATAAGGGTTATTGATTTTTCAGTTTATTCAACTTTTTCTTTGTTGTTAGGATGGAATGATGACTTCTAAGCTTCTGTGTGCTGGACCAGAAACCCTAAACCGTTTTTTTAAACTTCAGTAACTATGACATCATCACGGAACAACAAAGATTTTCTAAAGCATAATTTCAATGGGTATATGGTGTACGAAGTGTCACACACTTAACTACTAATTCTTTGTAATTTGATATTTATATTTTTATTTTTGATTTTATGTTTACTTTCTCTTCTTTTGTTTGCAAACAAGAAGGGGTAAGCCTCCTTCCTGATAAACTATTGTGCTATTCATTTTATTAGGATTTGTCAATGTAAAATTCCTGTAAATGACAGTGTGGGGTTAGACTGACGTCCTTTCTTCTTTCCTTTCTTTGTGTTTTCTTTCTTGATTCCTTCTTATAGTTTTTATTGGTCCATTTATCTTATTTCTCTGTTCTTGCATGTTGTAAACTTTTTCTATTTAAAATTTCTTAGCATACTAATTGTAGTATTTTTTTTTAAATGATCTGATAATTCTTTCTTCTTTTGTCTTGGATTTAATCCAGAATCTCATGCATGCAAAGCACATGCTCTACCACTGAGCTACATCCCCAGTCCCTCTGGTCATTTATGCACTGCAGAAACACTGGGCATGGGATGGATGCATCTTCCTTGTAATTTTAGGGGCAGGACTTGAGAGTGTACAAAGCAAGGGAATTTTGTGTATAAACGTTAAAAAAGAGAAGCCGGTTAGAGGCAACAGTAGATAAGATTCAGGAGTCACAAGAGCCAGGTAAATGGAGACAAAGTAAAACACATGGGAAGAGAAAAAAATTTTGAATCTTAACTGGAAACTAAAACATAAAAAGAAAGCTAAAATTGTAAAATGAGATCTAACTAAAATAAGAGAATTTTTCTCTGCCAAAGTAGTTCCCTCAGTAATCTCTCAGAATTTTACTTTTCCCTGAATCTGGGAGCACAAATGAGGTTCAACAGATAAGTTCTACTGGAACATTACATTTATGGAATGCTCATTTATTTGAGACAATGATGACCCACATCATCCTCATAGCTTTTCATCCATAGCCCCATAATCTAGAAGAGAAACTGAACATCAAGCATCAAAGAGGTTACTTGAGTTTTTATAATCTTACAGCTAGGAGTGGACAGAGTTGGCATTGAAGCCCAAGGACTCTCTACTGCTCTCTGTGTGCCACTGTGCTCTTCTTCTCTGGTATGGTGGCAGCTACCCATCAGAGCTGAATGGGATGCAGCCTTTGGGTTATTCAAAATAAAATCTGAATCAAAATAAGAAGCAGAATTTGCTCAAGTCCACAAGGTGAACACAGTAGCTGTGGCAGAAGACATCAGAAGGTGTAAGGCCCAAGGTTGGGAGGTAAGAGTAAGACATGGAAAAATGGAGAGGGACTCAGACCTGATAATAATGTTTATTGGGGGCTGATGCGATGGTCTGATTGAAAGGCATCCACTAAGGACAGATAGTATTCTAAGATAGGGCTCAACCCAGGTCCATATGATCTTGGAGCCCACACACCACTATTCTGAATCATCTTCATTGACGCAGAACCATTTGGTTTATTTCCAAAAAGTTAAATTATGTCTAAAAATATGTAATACTTATATTTGGTTGGAAGTGGGTTAGGGAGGAGTTCTTTTCCTTTGGGTAATATTCCCATAATCTACCACTAAGAGAACAATAAATACAACCAATGTGATGGAAAGTTGCATAACAAATGGGTATTGAGTGAGAAGGAAAATATGCAGTTGATGAATGTTATCTCATAAATTTGTTAGGGAGAGAAGACTATGTCCAGATATATAGTTTTCTCCTACTCACCACCCAGGGAGGATCAAGAAATCAGAATGTGGTGCCCTAAGGGATATTTTTACTGAGATTACAGGATGAGGTGAGGAGTGGGGAATTTGAAATGGGTAAGAGGGGGTGGTAATGAAAGCAGTGTATCTGGCAATACATCCTGTCAGCTGAAAGTTTGTAAATAAATGATGAGCTCTCTCTCTCTCTCTCTCTCTCTCTCTCTCTCTCTCTCTCTTTCTCATCTATCTAGGGTAGGAGTGGGTAATGTTTTTTTTTTTTTCCTATAAAGAGCCACATAGTAAGAGTATTTTAGACTTTGCAAGCTGTAACATATTTGTTCCAACTACTCAACTCTGTATAGCAAAAGCAGGCATAGATATAGTATATCAATGCATGTGTGTGGCTGTATGCCAATAAAACTTTATTTACAAAAACAGGTGGAGGCTGGATTTTGCTCATGGGTAGTTTGCCAATCTTTTTTTTTTTTTTTTTTTAATACAAGAGAATGGGCACGTGTGCGTTTGCATGATGGACTGGAGTTCTAGAGTGAGTGGCAAAGTAAGCCATAGCAATTTCTCAATGAAAAGATTTAGACATTTGAGTTAAGTGTGGTAACTAAGCAAGACAATCGGAAAGGCCCAGACATACTTGTTCCCCTTTCAGGATGCCTGAGATTGGAGGAGGAAATTAAAAAGTAAAAGCATATCTGAAGTGGAAGAGGAGAACAATGCAGGATATTTAGAGAAGGCAAATTTATGAAGCGGAGGCAAGGCTTGTTGAAGAACAAAGACAGGAGAAAGGAGGAGGTAGAAGAAGGTAACCTGGAAATGACAGTGGGGAGTCAACAATGGAAGTCCGAGGGATTAGGAAGAAGGAAGTCAACCTGAAAATAACCTTTGCTGCTSTGCTTGGAGAAGGAGCAGCCGGAAGACAGCAAACAGCTTGCGGCTGCAAAGGGGAGAGATGATGTGGAAAGAAATCCGCTTGGGGTTGTTAAGAGGATGTGACATTATTAAATGAATGGGGAAAAGGCTGRGCTCACTCACGCCTAGGACCTGTCGACAGTTTAAATATATGGAGATTGAGGAGCTGAAATAATGGCTTGTTTAATAAAAGTGTGGTTAAGAGTTTGCAGAGCATGAGTTGATTCCCCATTGCAAGGTGTGTTCTCACTGTTCAGGAAATATGACTTAGTGATCAGGAATTCAGCCAGGGCTAGGTCCTCTTGAGACATTCAGTGGAGCCAATGGCTTCCCCGGTACTCTTTCTTAACTTCATTTATTCTTTCATCCTTTCAGGATCCCAACCTAGATTTACTGGGTGTCTACCATGAGCCTCTTCAGGGTCACCAGATGTCCATCATGAGCTCGAAGGGACTGTGTTGAAGTGATGGCAGCTTTCAGAATGAGCACCTGAAGGGCACTGGCTCCTTCCGGCCTTAGGAGGGAGAAAGAAGGAAATTGATGGCCATGAAAATTTTCTTTATCAAGAGGCAGATTTGTCCAACTAGACAGTAGACTCAGAACTAGAAGCAATTTCAAAGAGCTTTATTCCCCCCCCCCACCTTCTACTCTACAAGGAAAGAAAATGAGGCCTTGAGAAGGGAATAAGRTTGAAAAATAAAAACTGAGTGCTTAGTATATGGCAGGCCCTGTTTTTTAAGTTTGATAAAATATGCGTAAGGTAATACTTCTTACCTTTTTAAATGATTTTAAAGTACAATGAATGAATGGCAAAAAGTACCTCTACCAAATTGTACAATCATTGCAACTGACTAATTCTAGAACTGTTTAATCTCTCAAAAAGAAGACTGTCAACTGGGTGTGGTGGCACACACCTGTAATCCTAGAGGTTCGGGAAGCTGAGGCAGGAGGATCTCGAGTTCAAAGTCAGCCTCAGCAAAAGTGAGGCATTAAGTAACTCAGTGAGATCCTGACTCTAAATAAAATACAAAATAGGGCTGGAGATGTGGCTCAGCGGTTGAGTGCCTCTAAACTCAATCCCTGGTATACCCCCCACCCCCCAAAATAGAAGACCGTCCTGGTCAAGCACTCTTCATTCTTCCCCTCCCTCCTCAGTCTCTGGCAATCACTGTTCTGCTTTCTCTATGGATTTGCATMTTCGGTATAGTTTATATAAATGATCATATGGTATGAAAGCTTTGGACTTTGGGTTTACTTGCTATAATGTTTCCAAGGTTCATCTCAGTTCCCACGTGTATCACTACTATTCCTCTTATGGCTGGATAATRTCCCATTATATGGATATATCAGATTTTGTTTCTCTACTCATCAGTTGAAGGACATKAGAATGTTTCCACTTTTTAGTTATTTTGAATAGTGCTGTGCCAGGCACTCTAAAAAATTTACATTTATTAATTTCATCCTACTCATAAAAATCCTCAGAAGGCAGTACTATAATTTTATCTATTTTACAGATTAGAGAAGAAAAATCAGGTCACTTGCCCAAGTTACAGCTGGTAGAAGGCAATTGGGAGGAGGGAGCCAAGACCCAGGTTTCTTCTTTCCCAGCAGAATGCTGTTCTACTGTCTCTACCCACTCCTCCCTGGGCAGGAGACATGCTCYGCACTGCTTTTCCTCAGTGTGCACCACAGTCACAGGTGCTCATTATGTTCAATATAAATTAGTTGAATCAAATTCATTTGCTGAATAATACATAGAAAACACAAGGACTGGAGATTATTTTTAAGAAGTACCCTGTGTGTTTTATTTAATAGTAAATATATAAAACAACTGAATATGAATAAGATATGGTAAATAAATCACAGCATATTTGTGTGATCAAGTACTATAGAGTTGTTAAAGATGATGCCGGAGAGGAATAATGTTGTGACAGACATACCCTTGGTTTATCTAGTCCCTCAACCCTCTGAAGGTAGAATTTTTCAGTTCCTTAGGTAGAAAAACTGAGGTTTAGAGGTTCAACAGCCTGCACAAGTTCAAACAGCTTGCAAAGCCAGAATTCTTTCTATTCCTTTCAACCCACATTCTTGGTCAAGTCAAAAATGAAATGAAATAGAAATTTAACAAAACTCAGCAGGGGTGTATTTCTAAGCAGAGGGATAATAGGTAACTTGTGTTTTCTTCTATTACTTCAGTACATTTTCCACATTGTGTACAATGCCTTGTACTACATTTGTAATTGAATAAAGGCAGTACAATTTCTCTTACAAAGAAATCAATGTCAAAACATATTTGAGTAAAAAAAATAATAAAATAAAAATTAAAAAACAGATCAAACCTGTAATGGAACACAGCAAACTGTAAAAGTATTTTTAAAAAAATAAGAGCCACACAAAAAGTCAGAAATAATGCTAGTGGGGAAATCTAAGTGGAGCTACAGTTTTATGCTTACTTTTTTCCCATCTCAGCATTTGGGAACTATTAATGGGCGCTGACCACTCCTTTTCCCCAAACAAGCTTCGTGTTTCCCAATTTCTTCTGCTGATTTGAGAGAACAGTTAATAAACATTCCGAATCATAAGCAGTTGCAGCCTCTCTTGGGTGACACAGTGGAGATCTGAAGCACTCAGTTACTCCATTCTCTAACGCTTATCTAGAATTTTCCTTGGCTCTCATTTCTGAATATTGCTGTAAGCATTTGCACAGGGCCTGACTCTATCTCTACTGTGTCATCTAAACAAAGKGTTTGAGAAATAATCTGCCTTTGTATGATAATATTAGTTTGTTATTGTTTGTTACTGTTGATAGAAACAACTTGATGAAAACTAGACATTGTCTCTAAGGACTTAGGTTGTTGATATTGAATTCCAAATTTCCCCTTTCAAGTCCCTTCTTATTCAATCAGCAGTGATGTGGCTCCACAATAGCTGAAATATTGTCATAATTTCCATAGAAACCGTCTGTAATGCTGCAACACAGGATTACACCCTCCCTGCAGGCTGAGACAGGAAGGCCAGATGGGTTCTGAAGAGGAAAAGGCCCTCAATGAGACATAAATCACTTGGTGAGGGAAGAGGCGATGGGGGAGGAAATCACTTTAGGAGAAAAATTGTGTTTGGTGCCGTCTTTACCACAGGGTGAAATTCCCGAATGAAGTAGCCAGCACTGCAGGCGCCTTTCCAAGGCCAGTGTATGGACCAGGTTATTTGYTGGATTCTGGTGCTAGTGAAGCTGGAGACAAAGAATACTTCCTCTTTGGGCTTTTGGTTTCACRGGTCATCAGCTGCAGGCTGACAAACACAGGTCCTGGTCAGCTCCTGTGTGTGTGATGACAGACMCAGAAAACAAAGTCCAGTGCCTACCCTCGTGTGCTAGGCTGGAACTTCCTTGTGAATATCTCTCACTGCACCTTCAAGGTATCCCCAAGAGTAAGRTAGCGTTATTCCCAATTTACAAGTGAGGTACTTGGACTACCCTCGCTCCCTTCYTTCACATTTCTTTTTCACTTTTAGTTCTTCCAGGGACCCTCTTTCCCAGGCTCTCAAGGCTGAATGCACCACTCTTTGATAATTATTACTCTGCACTATAAACACTTTTTAACCTCYTTTTCACGAGTTTGTAGTCCTTTGAGAGCAATGTCCTTAGCACCTAACAATGACCTTAGTACCTAACTAGCACCAACCAGGCATTGACTCATAGTACGTACTTAGTATGTTTCTGAATAAATGGATGAATAAGAAAGTCCCAGTAACCTATTCAAACTCCATCATTTCTGCAATTGTATTCCCAAGAACTGAAACAGTGCCTGGCAGGTACAAAGCCTCATTAAATATTTTAGTGAAATAGTGAATGAACCATTGAGCTCCTTACCTGGTGTGTCAGTGACACCGAGGTATTCTGCATACAGACACTGCGTTGCGTTGGTGGGTAGACAGCCATTGTCAGATCTGGCCAGGCAATTCAAAGAGCACAACTTCCTGCTAGTGGTTTGGTACTGCTTGCTTTTRGAAGTACATCTCCTGATCTAACAGTTCTTACATTTAACAGAGAGCCACCCCCAGAGTGGTTGCAAATAACACGTGTCTGAAAGTCAAGAGAGCAAGGGTGAGACATGGTTCTGTTACTCACTATGTAAATTTGGTAAAAATCCCTTTACCTTTCTATCTTAATTTTTTCCAGTTTAKATTAAAAATCAAGTTAAAGATGAGATTATTTTATTTTAATGTATTTATTAATTTAATTTTGGTATCGGGGATTGAACTCAGGAGCACTCAACCATTGAGTCACATCCCCAGCCCTATTTTGTATTTTATTTAGAGACAGGGTCTCATTGTCACTGGTTTGCTTAATGCCTCACTGTTGCTGAGACTAGCTTTGAACTCKCGATTCTCCTGCCTCAGCCTCCCAAGTCACTGGGATTATAGGTATGCACCACTGTGTCCAGCTTGTTTTGTTTTGTTTTTAAAGACTGAGTCTTCCTTTGGTGTCTAGACAGGCCTCAAACTTTTGGGCCACCCCAGCCTTCTGAGTAGCTGTGAACAACTTACCCTTCCCTTTTAGAAAAGCATCAGTAATAATCTTATGCATACCATCTCCCTGCAAAATTGAGGTGCATGGACCATTTGTGCGTGGCAGTACAAAGTCTAATTAAATACTTGAGTGAAAACAGTGAATGCCTAGCCCCAGCCCTATTTCTTGGTTCCCTCTGAGGAAGTTCACTGGGAAACAGGGTCCTTGGTGAGAACAGTGTGGTGTGTTCCAGTTCTGTCTAGTAGAATAGGTTATATTTAGGGTAATTCTGACTCTAAATTTCAAGAGTTCTGAAAAGATGGGAAAAGCCCCACAGATTATATATCCAGTCTGAGATGATAACATGTACCACTTATCCTTGCAGATAAGTCATCTTGACAGTGGAGATGAATGGGCACTGGATTTGGGGTCATGATTTCTGAGGTTTGTACCCAGAACCACCACTTCCCCAAAAGTCATTTCACTTCTCTTAGCCAGTCTCCTTACCTAAAAAATGGGGGAAGGTACTCTTTCACGATTGAGTTTCATGAGATTCATGGTAATAGCTACCATTTCCTGTGTAATTCGTAAGTCCTTGGTAAATTGCTTGAGGAGAGACAGTCTCTCAGGGCTTTGAATATGCTTGCATGTTTTTGCTAGTTGCATCAAATTGTGAGGCTCTGATGGCTCTTTATCTAGATCATTTCTCAAGGTTATGTTTTCAGTGAGCAATCTTGAGAGATGAGGTAATATTCCCCCCAGACAAAGAGCAGTCTTGTCGCAGCTTACTAGAAAGATGGTGCATCCACAGGCTTTGTGGTCTCCTCCTGTAGTAGAAACCACCATGTGTTTAGCCATCCATCATGGGCCTTTTGCATCATCCTGGGAGACTTGGAAAGCATGGATGACCAATGAAAACCAACAGGAAAGTCTGGCTAATGCTTTTGTCTTGAGTGATAAAGCCCTTTGTTCTTGATCCTGGTGTCTCCTTCCTTCTGCCAACACCTATGAAGTAGTGACAGGATAGCTGGTTAGACTGCAAGTAGTAAAACAATCTCAGACTCTGCCCAGTTCTTGATATACCTATTATGTGAATTAAATTATTATAGCAATCCTATGAGTAGGTAGTTCTAGTAACCATGTTTTATAGATAACAAAGCTAAATTTCAGCAAGGTTCAGTAACTTGCCAAACATCATACAGTCATAACATAGCAGAACTAAGCTTGAGCTTATATTTCTTCAAAAGTTATACCTTTAACTATAGTGCATTTTCCTTCCAAATTATATCAAATGACTATTATTAAAACATATATGTTATTATTTTTTATTAAAATATAATTAAAATGTGAGCTTTTGGTTCACCCGGACCAGATGCTCATCAATAGATGAATAGATTAAGAAAATATGGTATATATACACAATGGAGTCTTACTCAGCCATAAAGAAGAATGAAATGATGGCATTTGCCCATAAATGGATGGAAATAGAGAACATTATGTTGAGTCAAATAAGCCATACTTAGAAAATCAAGCATTTAATGTCTTGTCTCTTATGTGGAAACTTGAGCAAAATAAGTGAAAACAGTGGGGGGAATCATACATAAAGATCAGTGGAGTAGAAGGAGGAGATTGAAAGGAAAGGAGGAGGGATGGGGAAAGGGAGGAAATGAAAAATGAATTTAACAAAAATCAYATTATGTGTGCATATAAATATACAGTAGGGAATTCCACCTTCATAATTTATAGAAAGCACCAATCAAAAATAAATAAATGAGTGRAAGGAAGATCAGGTACCGAAATGCAGTCAGTCAAAGCCCATGCATGTATGATTTTTACTATGTATAAATGTAATGCTCTAATTAAAAAAAAAAAAAAGGAATTGGCTCATTTCAACAAATGTTGTTGGTTGTGAACCTTGCTTTCCACAGTAGACAAAGCTGTCTACTTAAACCTCTGTGGAAAACCGAAGTTGAGCAATGGCCATGCTGCCTACTAGCTGCAGGACACTGGACAGGGTATTGAACGTCTCTGTGACAGTCCAGATTCTGTCATAAGAACAGTAGTACTACTAGGTACTTCAGTTAGAGGGGTCTAATGCAGAGAATTGACTGTATATATGTTGGAATTTGAAAAGCAACGAATGAACATAGAGGAGTCCAGAGATAATAACTACAGCAAGCAGCAGCCCCCAAGGCTGAGTGAACAAAGAGGTGGGGCTGCCCTGCAGGATCTGTGCTCAGATATCTGAGGATAGATTGTGGCCCAGCTGCTCCTGGTCCTCCTGAGAGAGTATGACAAAACCAGGGGAGGAAGGGCAGAACTAAGCTGCAGGGGGAGACAACTGTGCCTGCAGGGGTGATGCTCATGGGACAGAGGGACAGGAAAGAATTCTGCTTTCATATCTTTGGCCTTCTGTTCCCCAATTTCTGTCTTCTCTTTGTAGAAGCTAACAGGAAGGTAGCTGGTAAAGGGCCCTGAGCCATGCAGTTTATACAGTCCCCAGCCAAACAGAAATTAGAGAATATAAAATAAGGGAGGATGGGCTTGGAGCTGAGAAGCAGGAGGCAAAACCAGGTACAGTCACTGTCCGTGGTCCCATATCTGTGAAATGGGATAATATCTATCTCATTAGATTCTTCTAGAGGAATCAATTAAATAACCACTCAGTTGCTTGAGACTCATTGCAAGTGTCCAGTCAATGTAAGCCTTTCTCATTATGCTAAGCTTGCTTTCTGTATAATCTGTGGCCTTTGCCTGTTTTCCAGCGGGACTCGGGTGTTAAGCCTGCTGCAGCGATTATCAGGCCATCTGGGAAGCTGGCCTTCCTAAGCTCCATGTGGGGAACAGGCTTCAGGACACAGCACTTGCCCTTGTGAGTCAAGACGGGAACCCTTTCCCCAGAGAGATTTAATTAGCTGGTTGTCAGAATGGTGTTGATAGATGAAATGCCTGTCTTAGACGGGATCTGTGGTTTTTCTGATGTGGGATTCTCAGTTTATTTCATTTGACATCCTGCTTCCTCTCTTCCCCCAAATAAAGCTCCCCTCGCCTTTTGCTTCTCTCTTTTCATTCTATCCTCAGACGAGATAAAATGCCCTAGATTCTCACTACCAAGCAGCTGTTCTGTGCTCTGGCACCTCATGCTGCACCACCTTCTCAGAGTACACAGCCAAACGGGCCAAAGCTTGTGTTTCAGCAACACAGCCCAGGGTTCAGAATGTAGATTGTGGTGTAGACACAACCAAAACCAGGGTTCAGATTCTTGATCAATGTTTTATTAAGCTTTGTGACCTTGGGCAAATAACCTCTCAGAGCCTCACTGYTCTCATCTGTACTGTGACCACAACAATCATTGGTATGTTGTAGGTTCTTGGAAAAATAAAAGAAGAAAATCCCTGTTCCCTGTAACCTTGTAAATCCATCATACTTCATGCTTGTAAACCCATGTTAAGTCATAGGTGTTTTCATTGCATGGGTACACCCTTTTTCCCTTTTATAAATGCTTGGTAAATTTGGAGTCACATTTACTGATTTCTATATTCCATAAATATTTATTGCTCCCTTATGGATGCCAGATACTGTATACATAATTGGCAAAGAAAGATGAGCAAAATGTGAATCTGACCCAATTAAAATAGAATAATTCTTGACTTCAAGTTACTAACCATTTGTGAAGCAGAGAGAGGGAGCACAGTAGACCCTAGTAGCTCAGAGACAGATGGAGAACTGGACCGGGAYTTGGGGATCAAGGAAGACTCCCCATGACCTTAATGCACATTTAAGATAGCCTGGGAAAATGTGTGTGTAAGCCATGGTGATGGAAATGTGTGCTGGTTTATGTGGATTGTGGGTGGTTGAAGGAAGTTCCAGGAAGAGATCTATAAACGAGAAAGAAAGACATGGTCAGGAACCTCTCTGTAGAGTAAGGGCATAAGTGGAGCAAAGATCAAAGCCAGATAGGTCAACAGGGCCAAATCTTTCAGGATCTTATAGAGTGGGTGCTGTGCCCCATTTCTTGGGAGACATCTTGGATCCCTTGACAGCCTTGTTTCCAGAAGTATCTGCTTCTTAAACCACTCTTCTTAGATCTTATGGGCATTTGCCTCCTTCTTTCTTACTAAGGCACCTCTGATTTTGTTGAGGGAGGAGATATGCTCAGATCGAAAAWCTAAGCTTTTCAGTCTCTCTTACAGATATGATTATGCACTGCTAAATGGAAATCCTAATTGACATTGATTTGTGCTGACTGGAGATGGAGTAAAAATTTAAAACTCAATGTGTGTTGAGAAGCTCTATGAAGATACTGTGTTATGCAGGGTGTAACCCAAGATAAATCCTTTATTGAAAAACATTTTTTAATAAAAACAATAATTAAAAAGAGAACTGAAAATGGGAGGGCATAAGAAACATGAATTCTGATTCTAGTTTTGAAAAGTCTAATTGTGATTCCGGATGAGCTTTTAACTCTCAAATGATAGAATTTCCCTAGAAAATGGAAACAAGGAAACTGGACTGCAGATCCCCATTGTGGAGATCCAGTAAACTATGGTAATAATAATAATAGCTGACACCTGTTGAATCCTGAATCTCAGGCAGCTTTAAGCATTTTTACGTGTATCATTTTATTTAAACACAAAATATTATAATGTTAGCGCTACCATTGTGTAGATAAAAGAAATGAGACAGAGAGATGAACTAACTTGCCCAAGGCATGAAGCTTCTAGCAGTTAGAATCCCTGCCAGCTGAATCAGCTGCTAACCAATCAACTGCTCATGACTCAGTTCATCATATGGAAGAAATTTTGAAAAGCTGTAAACGACATACAAGGGGAAGGTTTTTAAAAATCATTTTCATTTTCATGGATTACTGAGAATTAAAACACAATAAGCCTTCACTTTGTACTGGATGATGTTTGATATTTCTTTAAAGATTCCAGGAGTCTTTCAAAATCTAATATGGTTTCAGAATTGTTATGGCTAGGTAATTCTAGGTAATCATTCTTTCTTTCAGCTTGCATTTAACTTCTTTTTTTTTCTTTCATTAAAGTTTACCAATTTAGTAAAGGTTTAGTTGTTTTTATTTTTCCTTCTTTGAACTCAACATACTTGCCATTATCTGAGAATTCCATCTTTCAACAAAAATAGCCCTAAGTGATCCTGTGAGTATGGTCTCTCTCTGTTACCCCTCCTTTCATACCTGGAGATGCTGTCCACTTTGTGATTAGCCCTTTCTCTAATGTCCAAGTGTTTTAACCTCCACACTGTTTTTGCATCTCTACCTTTGCCATGATAAGGGCTAGTTCACCATATTTATATTCCAACTCACAGATTTTCTCCTCAGATGTATATCATGTGCTGTTGAACCATTTGTGGAGATTCTAATTTCACTGGGTCTCATCTTTTTTTTTTTTCATTTCTAGACATTGTATACTTTTCTCTTTTAAAAATCTGCATTTTCTGTTTTGATATTTTCTTATTCTTACTTACATATTATTTGTTTGGGGAATTTCACCAATTTTAACATAACTGATTTTATCTTATCTACCCAACTGTTTTATTTTCTGAAAGTTTGAGAGACTTCAAATACTGTGTTTGCCCCATCTTGCCTGGGGCAGATTTTTTAATGTATTTGCTACTCATGTCAGCTGGTGTTTTTTTTTTTTTTTTTTTTTTTTAAAGGGTCTCATGACCCTGGGTCAAGGGTGTCTCCTGTGGTTCTTATTTTGCTGGATATTCCAGAGTATCTTTGCTGTGGCTGTTGTTAATATTAATACTTCACTTCAGAAGCTGAATGGTTTGAAATAACACCCAAACTGAGGATCTTATCAGTGTTAAAAATTCTGAGACTTCCCTCACAACATATCATCCAGAATATTAGTCAAGACAAAAAAAAAAAATCTCCATGACATCACCTTATGTCCATGATAGATCTTCCTAGTTCTTTTTCTTTTTTAATCAAACAACTGGGATTTATATGGAAGTCTCTTTTCCAATCCCTCCTTATT